CGCTGGGGCCACCCCCGGAGCTCGAGGCTCCCACGCCCCCACCCATAGCCCCGACTGACGCCTTCCCGCCGCCAGTGCCTCCTGGGCCAGAGGCCGAGCCCCCAGGGCCGCCGCCACCGCCTCCGCCTCCGCCGCCTGGTTCCGCGAACGAGCTGGTCCGTGCCCGGCCCGAGCCCCCAGGGCCGCCTCCGGAAGGCCCGCCGCCACTCATGGCGCCGAGCGCAGGCCCAGGCCGCGGGGCTCGGGCTGCCTGGGCTGCCCCCGCCGCTGCCTCTGCCGCCGCCTCCCCTGGGCTCCGGCCTCTTCCAGGCCGCGCCGTTCGGGCTCCGGCTCCGGCCCAGCGCCCGCCGCGGGGCACGCCGGGAGATGAAGTCCCTCTGCGGTAGGCTTCGTTGTCGCCACCCTCGACTCGCACAGCACGCCGGGAAATGGAGTTCTCAAGACCTCAGAGAAGCAGGCGGGGTGGGGGGGGAGGCTGACGGTTCGCGCTGCACGTCGGGAAATATAGTCCTGGGTAATATCATCCGACTCTGCCAAAAGACAACTTGAAACACTTCGGTAAACACAGCTAGAGCCACACGCCCACTACACAGATGCGATAGCAACCCTCACAGGGTATCAGAGGTGAAATCTTAGCTACTCCATCCACATGCAGCAGCCAAGCCAGAAGCATGCCGGGAAATGGAGTCTAGTCACCCACCAAATCTAGGTGACTTCCTGCGCCGGGTGCATTCTGGGAAATCGAGTCCACACTCGTGAATACTCGGTTCTTGAGCTGTGAAGCACACTGGGAAATGGAGTCGTCACCACGCCCTCACCGCATTGCAGGTGTAGAGCTATTTATAAAGCACGCTAGGAAATGAAGTCTCGGGTGATCCTCAAACTCCAAGTAGATATTGTAACTGAAAGAAATAGGATAGGAAATGGAGTAGGCATCGCGCTCTCTCTGCCCAGTTGCTGCGCCGCAGTTCCTTCCGGGAAATGTAGTCGACACCAAGAGTTAAGCGCGTTGCTTCAGTGAGCCTTTTGTCTTCTGGGAAATGAAGTTCAAGGTAGCCTCATCATTAAGGAAGAGGATGAGAGCTACCAGCAGCCAGGCGCATGCTGGGAATAGTCCACAGTGGAATTGACTCTTTGTGAAGTTAGGCGCAGGGGCTTCTTGGGAACTGTAGTCCAAAGGGAGTACTGTGCCTGAGAGTGTAGGTGAAAGGTTAAGGACGACAGTTCCCAGGGGAAATTGCAATGAGTTACAATGTCTCCTCCCTGGTCCCTAGGTCGTAGGAATGACCCAAAGCCGATCAGTGACTGCTGGAAAAGGGAGTCCCAAGTGGTCACATATTGAGAAGAGAAAAACCTTTCCTCTCTGCAGTCTCAAAGGATTTAATAAACAATCCCGACCTTGTCTCAAACTTGTTTTCGGATATTCTCCCTCTCTCTAGCAATACGACTAGGATCAAGAGGATGAGCTGCACGATTAAAACACACACAAACACACACACATACACAATTTCTGTCCTGAACCTCCACTCGATATTCTAAATTACAAGATCCTAGAGGATCCAAATGAAGAAAGCCAGCGGCTACAAGAAGCAGCTTGTGTTTTCCTGCGTATGTTGAGGAGCCCGGTTTCCCGAATTAATAACCGGAAGAAAAGCAGTAACTCCAAAGGATACTGGGAAACTGGTGTGTGTGGTGGTGGTGGTGGTGGTGGTGGTGGTGGTGGTGGGTGTGTAAAATGGAAGCGCTGTCTGTCTGTGCTTTACTTTACTCGCAGACTGTGTTCGCACTAATCGTCCGGGCTTTTCTGAAGCCTAACATCGAGTCAGCTCGGTCAGTTTCCGACTGCATTTCTCAGTGGACACGGAACAGAGATAGATCGTAGGGCTAACGCCTCTTCAGACTACTTTATCCAGCAGGCAAAGCGCGGGTACTTCCGCCACCTTTGCAAAGCCTGCAAACACTTCAAGCTCGGTTGGAGAGGGCGTTTCTGGAGTAGCACAACCGAATGGATGGCTGCCGCCCTCTGATGGCTACTTGGAACTGAAAAGTAAAATTTAAGTCAAACCCCAAGGTATAGAACTAAGAAGTCTCACTAGGGTGTGTGGCAGGATAGAACCTATTATTTAACCGCCAGAACCCGTGGGACCTCAGCAGTGGACCAGTCTTTGTATTGAGCTCCGTGGGACCTTGCAGGACAAATGTCAGAGATCTGTAAAATGTCTCCAAGTGTCTAAGAGGGTCCTAAAGATGTTTGGAGGAACTGATGAAGAAAACATGAAGAGATAAGTCTTTAATAGACTATAGGCAGCAGGAAACAATTGTTTGGGGCACGGTGGAGAAAAATCTATGTAAAAAGGCATATGAGAGAATGAGAAATCATGACGATTTCCAAGCAGCCTGAATAGGCGAAGGACGGTTAAGAAACACAAAGAGGAGACTGTGGAGTTGTGTAGGAACCTGGCAGGAGGGAGGGCTGTTGTTGCAAATGGGATTTTAGTTGTAATGGACTCATTTGTAAAATGCCCTGAAACTTTCTGGTTGGAAGCAAAAGTCTCAGGACCAAAGTCAGGTGTCTTCTGTTTTTTTGTTTTGCTTTAAAAACAGGGTCTGAGATTACAGACATGTGCCACTAGGGCGAATTTATGGTGCTGGGAATTGAACCCAAGGGTCTTGCACTCTGTCAACTGAGCCACATCCCCAGCCCTCCCTTCTTCTCTTTTGGAATAGGGTCTCTGCAGGCATGGTGGCACACAGGAGACAGGTGGATCTCTAAGTTCAAGGCCTCCCTGGTCTACAGAGTGAGCTCCAAGACAGCCAGGGTTACAGAGAGAAACCCTGCCTCAAAAAACCAAAGAGAAGAAAAAGATAGGGTATTGTTCTGTAGCAAGGCTAGCCTCAAACTAGCAGCTATCCTCCTGAGCCTTCCCAGTCCTGAGGCATGTGCCAGTACACTGGGCTCAGATCGTTTTACAGGAAATGGTCCAGGCCTGCAAATGGATTTAGGTGGGCGATTAAAGACCTGTGGGGGTTGGGCCTGCTGTCTTTAAGACCAAATATCACCTGTGCCATCCCACACAGTCAGAATCTGGGGCAACAAGTTTGATTAGACCATGAACTGACCTCTGAAGGGTTTCTGAAGCTGAACACTTAGGGGTCACGTGATTAGAGGCACTCTGAAGGGTTCTGCTGTGGCTACTTAGCCAGTCCTGCTTCTTTCTTGCAGTGGCAACATCCGCCTTCCTCTATCACCCCACTAGCAACTCAGCTGCATCTACGTTGCCAGGAGATACGTCTCATCCCAACTTCCAGAAATAACCCAGTGGTTCCCACCCCCAGGGAATGGCTTACATCACCCAGGAGAGGAAGCAGTTGCCCACAGGCTGCCACAGGAGCCTGTTTTCTGCATGTATCCCAGTCCTGGATCCTCTCCTCCCTGCCAAATGATGCATCATCTGGGACCACCCACCCAGGGGCTGGCACAAGTCGAGGTCTAAGTGCAGGGGGTAGATAGCAGTTGCCAGTTCAGCGTTCATTCGTTCCCCCTCAGGGCTACACAGGGTGGTGTTTTATAGCAAATCCAGTCCAACAGGCCCTGAGTTCCAATTCCCACTCTTATCTCTCAGCAAGTGTGTGGCCTTGGGGGAACCCCTTCCCCTTTCTGGGCCTCAGGCAACACACCTGCACTGTCCAGGTGGGGTCTGCATCCACCAGCAATCACAATCTGAATTCTTCTGGTAATTATTCCTCCAGGACTCGGTTTTTCCAGCTTTAGGAGCTCATCATTCAGCAAATCCTAACCCTGGACACCTTGATCTGGACTCAGCCGTCTTGGCTTTCCATTGGAAAATCCAGTTGTTGCAAGACCATGGGATTTGAAGCTATTTTCCTGAATAGCTCAGCTCTATGTCTCTGGAAGTTTAACTTCGACGCTGAATGCTTTAATACATGACACACAGGACGTCGGTCAGGATCAGGATAATGAATCCCTCGTAAAACCTGCTGGTTAGGGAGATCACCCTGGTGGGACAAAGACTACCAATTATTTTTGAGGGTTTAAGATTTAATTTTATTGAGGCTGGAGACAGCTTGATGGTTACGAGCACTTGCTGCTCCTGAAGATGACCGAGGGTCAGGTACCAGGAGTCACGTGGAAGTTCCTAGCCATCTCTACTTCCAGAACATCTGACACCCTCTTCTGACCTCCTGGGGCACAGCACATGATACACAAATATGCGTATAGCCCAAAACATATACATTTCTTCAAAGATTTTAACGTGTAAATCTGTGTGAATGTATCCCAATTCTATGTGGGTATCAGAAGCCAGAAGAGGGCAACAAATTCCCTGGAGCTGGAGTTAGGGGTTGTCATGAGTCACCCCACATGGGTGCTCCGAACAGAACTGAGGTTTTCTGGAAGAGCAGAAGCATTCAACCACCCACTCCAGCCCAAGGCACTGCAAGCCTCATCAAAGGACCCCAAGCACAACGATAACAGGACACTCCCCTTTTTATGTGGCCCAGGCAAGCCTTAAACTAGAACTTCCCACCTGGTCAAGTGCTGGAATTACAGGTGTGGACCACTAGACCCTCCTCCACACACATTTCGAGAGGAGCAGGGCGCTAGAGGCAGTTCAAAGCACAGGACCCTCCACCAGGGAGTGTGGCTTAGCAGTCAAGAGCTGGAGGGGGAAAGCAATTCAGGTCATAGGAGAACCAGGGACAACAGGCTCAACCCTGTTAAGGGTCAAGAGGCAGATTGAAGATAGGAAACTGGTCAAGGAAATACAAGACTAGAGAAAGCCAGAGCCCTTAATCCACTCTGAGGCGTGACACCTGAAAGGCGGTCAGAGCTCTCCAGGCAGATGACCTGTTCCGACGGAGTCAGGCCTTTGGGCCACAGATGGAAGCAGGTGTGTGTCTGGACCTGCCTGGAACTAAGGCAGGTCTGTGGTGATGCTGTGGCTGGCTGCACCCAGTACCTAGGACAGATTACCACAGGCAAAAGTCCAAAGTTTTATTGTTTTGAATACATTCTCCAGCAGCCCCCTTGTGTCCCACCCCACCCTCCATTCCCAATACAGAATAAGGCTTGACCACAGCCCTCCAGGCCACCCCTGGGAGGCAGAGAGGGGCTTCCAGTTTGGTTTCAAGGGACCCCCTTCCTGTCCCTGACCCACCTGCCCATGGGTCAGACCTAGGACCAGCTGGGGGTGGGTGTGAGGGACTGGACCAGTACTGGGGTGGAGTGGGGAACAGGCACTTGAAGAGATTTGTGGCCCATAGATTTGCAGCCCCCCTCACCTTCCTCTGCCTCCCACCCCACCACCCCCACAGAATTTTTGGTTTATAAAATTGTCCCTCCGGCCCCTACTGCAACCTTGTGGGGTCTAAGAAACCCAGGCACTCACAGCCCCTACAGGGGCAAGGAAGGCAGGGTTAGGGCTGGGAGGAGGGGGCTCGGAAGGGAAGGGGTAGGACGAGGTAAGTGGCAGAGAACAGGGAGGGGGTCAAGGCTTTACTTCCTTTTTTTGTAATACAAAAAAGTTCCTGGGTGTTAAAAGGCCAAAGCCTCTGCTGAAATAGAAATCCCCAGAATGGAGGTGCCCCCCCTTAACACCCCCCTCCCGCCCCCCACCACCACTTTGCCCGGAACTTAGAAACCCAGAGATGAGGAGATTAGCCCCCAGTCCTGGGTGGGTACCCACCCACCCTACCATTTAAAAAAAAAAAAAAGTTTTATACAAAATGTGGGGAGGAGAAAGGGGGGAGGCAGGGAAGAGACTAAGAGAGCTGCCCTCACCTCCAGGGCTTTGTGGGGGTTAAGGCAGCAAAAGCTTGGGGTGTTGAGGGGGCACACGAGGGCCCTTGCCCATGGCTCTCAGGAATCTCGATGCTCCAGAGAGAGCTGAGCTGTGGCGTGCTGGAGATCTGAACTCACCCGTCGTGGGGTGAGTGGCCCTCCAGCCTCCCCAGGGCCCGTGTTCCCACGCACCTTCTTGTCCTCACCCTCATCCTCAGGGCCCCCAGACAGAGCCCCGCCCCCCTCCAGGCGACAGTCTTCACTCCAGCGCCGCTTAAAGCGCAGTTTAAGGGGCATGCACTGGGCTGCCCCAGGTGCCTCTCCCGGCTCTGGCTTTGGGGGAGCAGGTGGGGCACGGGGAGTCTTGAACACCTCCCCATCTTCCTCATCCTCGTCACTGATGTCAGTCACCTCCACCTCCTCGGACTCGCCTTCTGAGATGGGCTCCACCTTGATCTGGGGTGGTGGCGGTGGGGGGACCAATGCGCCTGCCCCCTCAGCCAGCCCACTTGAGCCACTGCTACCGCTGCTCTTGTCGGTGCCTCCTGGAGCCTTCTCTCCAGCTGCCCGCTGCCGGCGTCCTAGCGGAGGTGGCTGCAGCTTAAACTTGAATGGGGATGAAGAGGAGGAAGAGGAAGACGAGGCTGAGGAGGGGACCGGTGGGGTCTCAGGTGCCATGGGCGGCAGCGGACACTTGTCAGGGCGCTGTGGCTGGGGCACCACCAGCCCAGGGTAGTGCAGGAAGGCGCGGGGACTGAGGTGGTAGTTGTAGACGCTTTGGGTGTGGGCCTGCAGGTACCGTTTCATGTCCTCAGGGCTGAAGGAGAAGTGGGAGCCTCCCCCTGAGCCACTAGGGCCCCCACCACCGCTGGGGTACATAGGACTCAACGTGGGCGAGGGTGTGTAGGCCAGGTGGGTGGGAGTCATAGGCAGAGCCGGGGAGAGCTGAGGGGGCAGAAGGGAGCCAGGCCCCGCCAAGGGTGACACAGGGAAGGGACTTAGGGGTTCAGGGCCACCCCGGGGCCGGGGGTAGACACGGAAGACACCAGGGTCATGCGGGAGGCGGGCCAGGGGGGGCCCTCGGAAGGCACCCAGCTCTGGAGGGCCAGGTGGTCGTGCCCGGGGGTCCTCTCCCAGAGGCTCCTCCAACTCTGACGTGCCATCACTACAGTCACTGACTGAGCCCCGGCCCAAACGTCGGGCAACCACAGCAGAGAAGAGCGAAGAGGAAGATGAAGAGCAAGCCGGTGGAGATCGGGGATCCTCGGTGGGAGACAGCACCTCGGAAGGCGTTGAAGGGGGGAAGCGGAAATGGCTGCCACCTGATGGCACTGGAGGGGCACTTTGGGGCACTGCACCCCCTGACAAGAGAAGGGAGAGTTGGCATCAGGAGCTCTGGTCCATGCTGGACACAGGCAGACCCACCTCTTCATTCTAGTCCATGCATCCCCGGCACACTCACCGGCCAGCCCCACGTCGATGAAAGGGTAATTAACCAGCACCAGCTTGTTGAAGTTGAACTTGTAAGTGAACCGCTTGCCCTTGGTCTTGTGCAGAATGCGCTTGTTATAGTAATAGCTGTGGGCACAAAACACCATGGGGCCATCAGGTGAACACTCCAGAGGACCAGAGGACCCAAGCACCATGACATGTGGCTGTGTGCCACTCATAAAGGATACCCAATCGCCTAAGGCCACAAAAGAGAAAACAAGTAGCCAGAGAGCGATGACCACACCACAAGCTCCAATGGTGACTATATTCTCCACCTGGGATATCATCTGTGACCTACGAGCTCATAAGGCCAGGACTTGCCCAAGGCCCAAGTTCACACAGCTAGAGGATCTGATAGAGCTAGATATCCAACCCAAACCTGTCCTCATGCACCAGGGGTTTCCAACCATGGGGACCAGCCTCATGGCCTGCAGGACCCACAGCCCCTTCTCACCGCAGGGCCCGGCTCAGCTTGTCATAGTTCATCTGGGGCTTGCACTTGCGGACACCCCAGAGGCGGGCCACCTCATCAGGGTCCTTGATGACAAATTCCCCGTAGTCTCCCTGCCAGGCGATGACGCCCTGGTACTCCTCCTTCCGTAGCAGCTCCAGAATGAAGTGCCACAGCTGGATCTGCCTTGAACCAGGGGATGACTCCGGTTTGTAGGCCCAGTCTGGGAAGGCAAACCCTAGGGACAGGAGATAGGGAGTGGCCTGGGGTCAAGATGCCAAGTCAGGGGCTCTGGGTCACACCCTAGAGTCCACCTACTGCCCAGCCCCTCGGCCTTCCATCACCAGGAAAAGCCCTCTTCCCTCACCAAATGAAGACTTCCATCAGAAGGTGACAGTATGTGTATCTGTGAGGGGGTTAGACAGGAGCTAGGAGGAGGGGAAGCTGGAGCCTGCTCCAGCGACACCGGGAGAAACAGGAAACCAACGGCGGCGGGTCCCGGGGCCAGTGCCAGGGGGCCAGGCACCAAGCCAGGATGGCGGGCAGGGCTGCCAGTGGGGGAGGGGGAGGGGCAGGAAAGGGCACACGTGGCCAGTAGGATGGGGGTACAGCCCTTTCTATGTTATGTACCCCTACTTCTATTCAAAGCCAATAAATAGTGCCTCCCCCCCCAGCTTTTGCGATACTCGCCTTAGAAACATATATGATCTTTCCTCTTAGACCCATAGAAGCTCTTACTCCCACCAAGGACTAGAGAGGAATTTTTTTTTTTTTTCTTAAAAGGACCAGGCCGGGTGGGGTGGCTGGTTGACGATGAGGTCAGCGCTTGCACACACAGAGGCTTCTGTCTTCCCTTGAGAGTGAAACCCAGACTGTCTGAGAGAGAGCCCCTCCACCCCCACAGCACTGGACCCTCCCCCAGTACACCCTTAGGACTTGGATGGAGGGGACCTGGCCCAGACAGAGCCCAAGCAGGCCTAGAACTGTTACCTTCCTCCCTCTTCCACCCTCTCCTTTCCATCCTCAGTTTACTTCCAGCCCACCTGCTGGCCCGCCCCCAGCATTAACCTTGGGTAAAGGTTGGTGGTGGGCTGACTTGGTCCCTAGAGGGGGTGGGCAGTCTGGGGTGGGGGGGGCTGCGGCTGTTGTCATTTCCCAAACCCCCGGGTAATCAGGGGCCATCAATAATTCAGTACTAGGCAGCCGGTAATGGAGGGGTGGGAGGAGGGAAAGGAGAGGAAGACAAGGAAGGGGGGGGGGGGCAGATCAGGGGCCCTAGTGCCATTATAGAAGACCAAGGTATATGGCAAAAAATGGGTGGGGTCCCAAGCCCTAGCCAAACTGGTGTGAGTCAGTACCCCCCTCCCTTGGGCCCAGCTCAAGCAGAAACCGACCAGGCCTCTACAAGACTGAGCCTCCCCATAGCCTCAACCCCAGAGTGAAATCCAAAAGAGGTTCCTTCCCCTTGGGACAACACAGGAATCAGTAGCTCCAGTCCAGCAGGGACCACCTTTTCCAAACACATTACTCAACATTCCCCTACACAGACTTCAGAACCCTGGGTAGAAAGGGATGGCCAGTTCAGCACTCCCCTTAGTCCACATGCCCCATTCAGAAATCCCTGCCTCAAACCAGCCAGTCACTGCCAGGTTCCAGGAACATGATTTCCAGCTGTTTGGGACTTTGTGCCCAGAGTCCTGCACCAGCAGCCCTATTCAGTTTAGCAAGGACAGTCCCTGACAACCCCTAAGGATCCATGCGCTCACAGCCCCATCCTTCTCTTGGGAATCCGGGAGTTCACCCCATCATCTCTATTCTGCTATAGAGAATCAAGGTCCAGGGTATCCCAAGTCATCAAGTCCCCCCCCCCCCCTCCATATACCCTAGAACCACCTCCAAAATTCTCCTGGTTCCCATCAGGGCACAAAGCTCCATGCTACTCCCACCTCAGTTCCAATCTGGTTCCCAGTCCCAAGTGGGGGGGGGGGGGCGAAGCCCCTAAGACATCAGTCTGGAGGTGGAGGGGTGTACTGACTTCCACCCTCCCCCCCAAAATTAAAGCCACCCTTCCCAGCCCACCAGCCCCAGCCTCCGTGTCCCGGTAACCAGGCAACGTGTGTGCAGCGACAGTCCTGGGAGCGGGGGAGCAGGAGGCTAAAAATAAACTTTGCAGAAGAGAGGGAGAGAGACTGCATGCAACACAAAGGGAACTCGGAAAGGAGGTGGGGGGCTCTGGAAAGGCCTCAAGCCCACATTCTGGGAGCTGTCCCAGGCCCCCTTGTTAACCTCCTTCCCTAAAAAACATCACCCCCAGGCCTGGACCCTGGCTGCCACTTCTGGCAGAGACCCCTCCTCAAGCCCAGGCCCACCCCAGCACCACCCTAGTACCGGCTTTCCTCATCAGGACACAGCATACACGAGGGCCTGTTCCCAGCTTTGGGGAGGGGACGGACTGGGGGTGACGTCAGGGTGTCTCAATGGGGCTCCTGTTCCCCAGGCCTTGGAGTCAGGAGCCAGGCACGGGCAAGGAGACCATGTGTGTGTTGTATATGGGTCCACGTGCTTAAATCACGGAAACACCAGCTCTGCAGCAAGAAAGCTTGAGGGTATTGGACCTCTCAGGCATGTGGGTCCAGTGAGGCTGGGAGAAGGCGGCTGGGACTGAGGGAAGGGCTCCAGAAACACAGGGTGTAGAGTGGCTGCAGACAGGAAGGGCTGGGATGGCTGGGTCCCAGAAGGCACACCTGGATATCCCAGACTGTGCAAGCCTGGGTGGGGGCATAAGTTCTGGAAAACAACCCCCAACTTAACATGACTACCTAAACTTTTATTTAGGGGACTATAGGGGTCAGATGTGGGGGGGGGTGAAAATACGTCTGCCTCCTGGGGGGCCTCAACACCTCCCCCACTCCAGGCAGACCTCGATGGCGCCAGAGCCGGGAAGAAAACAGGAAGTGGGAAACAGCCACGGCGGAGTAGAGAAGCGCCGGGATGGAGAATGATCGGATGGAGGGGCGCGTAGTGGCCCGCAGTCGGAGAGACAGACCGACCCGGAGGCCGTTCCGGTCTCTCGCTTTCCCCAAAGAACCAACACGCGACCGGGACCCCAGGCAGGGTTGCTGTGGCCCTACAGGTCCCGTCAAGCCAAGGCCCGTAGCACAGAGGGAAGACAAGGCGGGGTTGTCTGGGAGCCTTGGTCCCCTCCCCGGGCGAGGCGAGGTTCCTGCTGCCCCCAGGGCCCGGCAGCCTGTGGGAGTCGGGGAGTAAGTGGGACGCACGTGACTGACCCTACAGCACAGCGCACCCCTGCCCCACCCCCGCCCCTCTCCTCGGCCCCAATCCCCTGGCGCCGGAGCCCCACTCCGAGCCCTTTAAGAGCCGCCCCCACCCGCCGAGCAGGGAGGTGGGGTGGGTGGGCCGGTCGGGGCACACACCCGCACATAGGAGCCCGAGCCGCGGCCGCCGCCGGGGGAAGGAAACAAGTTTGAACAGCGGCGCCCGGCCCCTTCCCCCCCCCCCTCGTCCCCGCCCCGGGCCGGATTCCGACGGGGCAGGCGGGCAGGGGGCGGCGAGGCCCCCTCCCCCAGCGCAAAGTCCAGCCTGTGCAAGCCCGGGGGCGACGGGGGAGGGGAAGGGGGAAAAGTCCGAGTGGGAGGGGGGTTAATCCTGCTGCCCCCCGCCCAGCGATGGGGGGGGGAGGGGAACCCTGGCCCCTTAAGGAGGAGCAACTTGGCGGGGGAAGAGAGGGGCGGAGGGAAAAGACGGCCCGCTGAAAGAGAGGCGCAGGATCGGGGAGGGGGAAGGACGATGAGGGAGCCTCTGCATTTCCCCCCCATCTTTCCCACCCTCCTCAACTCCCGGCCTCCGCCCGCGCTAGAGGAGGGTACCCAAGTCTCCCCTGAGCCACCTTAAAGCCGCGCGTTCTAAGGTCGGAAACAAAAAGTTCCTTTTTCGAACGTTCGGGCTGCGCTTTGGAACTTTGCGACTCAGTGCGGGCGGGGGAGCGAGGAGACGGACGGGGGAGGGGCGGTGCAGCTCGGACCCCGAGTCCCGTGCTCCCCACTAACGCCCTACTCTGGACCATCCCGTAACCCGCTCACCCGGTGCGGGGCACGCGCGGCCGTGAAGGTCACCGGCCGGACCACGTAGCGCGGAACCGAGCATAGCGGGCCCCTGTATCGAACCCTTCCCCCTCGCCCCGCACACGTCCCGGCCCCCGGAGTGCAACGTGACAGAACGACTGGGAGGGACTCTGCCACCCCAGAGATCCCTGGAGAGCCCAGGTTGCCGGGTCCGAGCAGGGAAAGACCAGCACCCGCAGCACCCACACCATTCCAAGAGGATCCACGGAATTGGGGCTCCCAGGCAGCACCTCAGCTCGTGCCGCGAGAAGCAACAGGTTTCGAGTGCTTAGGGGTCCCCCCAGAACTGGGGATCAATCGGGCTCCCCTGAACCCCTTCAGCCCCCGCCCAAAGTTTTTCCTCCCGGTTTCCCGGGGCAACAAGTCTCCCCCACACGTGCTGCCCCCGCCCCCACCTGTGTCCGCCGGGGTCTTCATGCTGGGGGGCCCGGGGCAAGGCGCCCCGACACCGGGCCGCTGCTCCTGGCGCCCGCGTTGCCCCGTCCCGTCCCGCGCCCGTTGGGACGCCCTCGCCGCCGCACCCGGCCTCGCCTCTCAGAGCCTCTCCCCTCCCCGCCGCCGCCTCCCGGGTTAATATCGCACTCCGGGGCCGGGACGCCCACGCCCCCCGGCCGGCGACGTCACCACCGCGTCGCCATGGAGACACTGTGCCCGCCCCCTCCCGCGCACACACGCACACACACACACACACACACACGCACGCGCGCGCGCGCGCGCGCACGCACACACACACACACACACACACGCTTGCCGGCGCGCAGTCACTGAGGACCGACCGGCTCTTGGCTTAAAGGGGCCGCGCGGCGGGGGAGGGAGAAAGAGGAGGGCGGGGAGGGGTTGGGGGGGGTCCTAGGGGTCACGACCCTTCTTGGAGGCTCTAAGTCAGCAGAACTTAAGTCTTCAGCACTCACTACCTGCTGCCTCACTTTTGCCCTTTCCTGGCTCCAGAGTTTCTTTTGGGACATTTTGGAGGAAAGGAATTTTATGAAGGGGGATGATCAGAAATTTTTGTGGGGAAGGGGCAGAATCTTCTCCACAGGGGGGCGGAGTCTGGATCTTGGAGGATGATCAAGAGCATAGCCATTTCCCAGCCTGAGTTTACCCAACCCCCCTCAACCCCGAGCCTGAAAGAGGGCAGCTGTCCAGGGGTGGGGTGGAATGGGTGGGAAACATTTCCCAGCATCGGAAATGGGGAGGCGGCTGTACCCTCGTCTCCTGTGGAGATGGGGTCTTGGCCTTCCTGACAGACGCAGTCCAGCTGGGGAGGAAGTGACCAGAGGATGCATTTGGGAGCCCCCACAATCACCACTGTCCCCAGGTTGCAGCTGTCCTGGGAGCGCAGCCGGAGGTAACCCCCACCTCCACACTGGAGCAGGGGGTTCCGGAGGTAGTGCCAGGATGCAGGGGGCGACCCAAGTCTGAACAAATGTGCTCCGGAGGAGCATTGGGGGTGAGAGGAAGACAGGGCTTAAGACCAAAGGCCTGAGTGTAGGGGAAGTGTTAAGTCTGTATTCTCTGCAGCAGATGGGAGGTATGGATGGAGCCTGAGGCTGGGAAACAGGAAATCGGGGTACCGATCGGATGCAGGTAGGCAGCCTGCAGTGGGATAGAGAGCAAACAAAAGCTATGTTCTCACAAGCTAAGCATTAATACAGTCACGGGGAAAATGAAAAATAAACCGGAGTTACGAAGGAAGCGATGTAGGCTTAGAAGACTGAAAGATGATGAATCAGAGCGAGATTCATCCGGAAAGAGGGAAGGCCCTTCGGGTACAGGCTGTAGGTGCTTAGGGCTTCAACCCCATACTTCTCTATTGCTGGGTTCCTATTTAACCTTTAAACCAGCTCGCCAGTGCTTCAAAGACGTTTCATGCCTCCTCCTTAGGGAGACCATAGTCTCCGGGAAGTGTCACCCCTTTGGGGAATTATGTAACCTTGCCTACGGACAGTGCAGCTCCCCACGGATATTGTAACCCTCTGGGAGCAGCGTGGTCCAGCAATAATCACCATTGTTACAATAACAGCTCTCAATTCTGAGTGCTCACGATGTGCCAGGCTCTGAGCCAAGCATTGTCTGAGGTATCTTCATACTCCCGATGAGGGGGTTACAAATGTAACCCCTATCACAGACGACAAATAAAAGGCTCTTTCTTACAGTGGAAACCAAGCTGCCAAGATCCTACAGCAAAGAAGTGCTGGGATTAGTACCCAAGTCCAGATCCTTACAATTCCAATTACGATGCCAGTTTTAACATTGCCCTTGTCACTGTTTGAAATAGATCAGTGACAGCAGCCCCAGTATCCCCTCTTCCCACCATGAAAACAGACTTGAGTGGCAATCCTACCTCTGCTACCCTCTCTCTGACCTAAAACAAGTGAACTCACCTCTTTGAGCCTCATCTGTAAAATGGGGCTCCTGGTAGATCCTGAAAGATTAAAAATTATTATTAGAAACCGCATGTGATGTAAACACACAATAAATATTGGGCTGGGGTCTAGCTCAGCATATGTTTGGCAGGCTTAAGACTCTATGTTACACTGCCAGCAGCAATAATTAAATAATGCTAGGAATGCTAGCTAGCTCACTCCTGCAATCTCAGCAGCACTGAGGATGCTCAAGCAAAAGGACTGGTCCAGTTCAAGGCCAGCCTGGGCTATGTGGGCATTCAAGGCTAGCTTGGGCTACAGCATGAAACACTGTCTTAAGAAAACTTATAAAATAAAGGGCTGGAGCAATGACTCTGTGGTTAAAGAGCACTGACTGCTCTTTTTTTTTTTTGTGGCTTGTTTTTTGTTTGTTTTGTTTTGTTTTTCGAGACAGGGTTTCTCTGTAGCTTTGGAGTCTGTCCTGGAACTAGCTCTTATAGAACAGGCTAGACTCGAACTCACAGAGATCCGCCTGCCTCTGCCTCCCAAGTGCTGGGATTAAAGGCATGTGCCACCCCCCCACACACACACTGCTCTTTCTAAAGGACCCAGGTTGGATTCCCAGCACCCACATGGCCACTCACAACTGTCTATAACTCCAGCTCCATAGGACACAACACTCTCATGCTGACATGCAGACAAAACACAAATGCACAGAAAATAAATAAATAAAAAAGAAAGAAAGGGTACAGAGGTAGCTTAGCAGTTAAACGCATTTACTGCTCTTGCAGAGAACCCTAGTTAAGTTCTTTTTTTTTTTTTTTTTTGAGACAGGGTTTCTCTATGGTTTTGGACCCTGTCCTGGAACTAGCTCTTGTAGACCAGGCTGGTCTCAAACTCACAGAGATCCGCCTGCCTCTGTCTAACTAAGTTCTTAACACCTATACAAGGCAGCCCACAACTGCCTGTACCTCTAACTCCAGGGAAATCCATTGCTCTCCCCCTGGTCTCAGCTGGCACTCCATGCACAGACACACACACAATTTTTTTTTTTTTTCGAGACAGGGTTTCTCTGTAGCTTTGGAGCCTGTCCTGGCACTAGCTCTTGTAGACCAGGCTGGCCTCGAACTCACAGAGATCCGCCTGCCTCTGCCTCCCGAGTGCTGGGATTAAAGGTGTGCACTACCACCGTCCGGCCACGCACACAATTTAAAACAATTTTTAAATACAGTCTCAATTTGTAGCTCTAGGTGGGCTAGGATTTACTATGTAGACAAGACTGACTTTGAATTCACATAGATCTGCCTGTCTCCAAGTGCTGGGATTAAAAGCATGTACCACCCAGCTAAAATATTTTTAAAATAACAAAATAAATATACAAATAAAATTTATACTGTTAAGAATTATAAACAGTGAAAACATATATGTATACATATACATGTAATATATGTGTGTGTGTGTATATATATATATATTAGCAAAGCAGAGTGACCATATACCTCACTGTGATCACCCTATGTACTATAGACACCCAGCTATGACTAACATACATCATTGGCAGTATGAAATTATGACAGTCATGGTGGTGTATGCCTGTAATCTTGGCATTAGGGAGGCTTGAGACAGAAATATTTTAAGTCCAAAACCACTTTGAAATAATAAAGCAAGATTCTCTATCAAACCAATAAAAAGCTAGGTGTTTTGATTAACTGTTTGCCCACTGCACTCTTACAATGCACTAAGTTAAATCTCTTTAAAAATAATTTTATTGGGGGGCGACTTAATTGGGGGAGGGGGAGGGAAATGGGAGGCGGTAGCGGGGAAGAGACAGAAATCTTTAATAAATAAATAAATTAAAAAAATAATAATTTTATTAAGATTTTTATGTATATGTTTTGCCTGCATGTATGTCTGTGTACCACATGTGTACCTGATGTGCAAAAAGCCAGCAGAGACGCTGGGCGGTGGTGGCGCATGCCTTTAATCCCAGCACTCGGGAGGCAGAGGCAGGCGGATCTCTGTGAGTTCGAAACCAGCCTGGTCTACAGAGCTAGTTCCAGGACAGGCTCCAAAGCTACAGAGAAACCCTGTCTTGAAAAACAAAACAAAACAAACAAAAAAAGCCAGCAGAGGGTGTCAGATCCCCTAATCCTAGAGTTAAGGGTCATTCAGAGCTGCCCTGTGGGTGCTGGGAATTGAACACAAGTCCTCTGGACGAGCAGAAAATGCTCTTAACCATTGAGGCATCTCTCCAGCTTCAACAATGTACTGCTCAATTAAAAGAGGGTTGGGCAGTACTGAAGAGGTAGCTCAGCTACGACTGTGCTTGCCTCTTGTGAACAAAGCCCTGTATTCTGTCCCCAACCCAAGTGAAACAGGATGTGCACTCATCTATTGTTCCTGCACTTGGGAAGTGAAGCTTGGAGCATCAGAAGTTCAAGGTCATCCTTCTCCACTCAAGTGTTGGAGAGTAACCTGAACCACCTCATGGTCACACATTTGCGTGTAGGCAGAAGCTAAAGCTGGAGCTCAGGCATAGTCATGCACACCTGTAATCAGAGCTCTCGGCAGGGTGAAAGCTAGAGTTTAAGGCTAGCCTCTTCTGCGTTGAGCTAGCTTAGTTCAAGGCCAGCCCTAGTTGAAGGAGACCCCGTCTCAAAAGTAAATAATCTAGTGACCAGTGAGGTGGCTCAGTGGGTAAAGGTACTTGTCAGTAAACCTGACAACCTGAACATTTTTTTCTTTCTTTTTTTTTGGGGGGGTGGGGTGGGGGGTGTGGGGGTTGCGGTTTACAGACAGGATTTCCCTGTATAACATTTCTGGCTGTCCTGAAGCTCGCTCTGTAGACCAGGCTGGCCTCGAACTCACTGAGATCTGCCTGCCTCTGGCTCCCAAGTTTTGGGGATAAAGGTGTGTGCCACCACTGCCTGACAACAACCTGAATTTTGTCCTGGGACCCACATAATAAAAGGAAAGAGTCCATTCCTAAAGATTATCCTATGGCATTCATATGCCTGCCATGCACTCAGCCACACATATACACAAAAGAAATAAATTGACTTTATTTTCTAATGATTTGCTTGTTTTTATTTCATGTGCATTGGTATTTTGCCTGCGTGTATGTCTGTGTGAGTCAGTCGGATTTAGTTGTGAGCTGCCTTGTTGGTAGGTGCTAGGAATTGAACTCGGG